CGGGGGGGGGGGGGATTTCGGATTTGATATGAAGGGGAGACAGACTCCTCGGTAAATAACCAAAACAAAAGCTATCAAACACGTCCAGTTTTCTCTCTTTGCATTGAAGGAGATGCAGATGATATTTACAAGTGTGTGTAAAAGTGGTTTGGAATTGATTGTATTATACCTAAAAGGGCAGCATGAATAAATGGTCTAATCAGAGACAAGCTTACAGGTTCCAAGGTCGATATCAAGTGGAGAAGAGCAGGATGAGAGTTGAGCTGAGTTATGAAAGTAAGATAGCGGAAAAGAACAATTAGGAGCAAGAGGAAGAAAAAAAAAGAAATAAAAGGAAAAGCAAACTGCAATGGTAAAATAATCTTCGAATAGAATGGGTTCTAATGTAGACCTCTCAATGCTATACGATCCCTGGTTCAAGTTGCTGTGGCCCGAGTCCGTTAGTGCATTCGACACAATTGTCCCCGGGGCCTGTAGAACTGGTGTTTGGAATCTATTACCTTCACTGCCTCTCATCCGGTAGCAAATCGCAGTCATTCACCACTCTTCCGGTGAAAAAGTATGCTGGTACCAGGGAACAATGGGGAAGGGGTCTCAGAACTAACTTTTTACATTGTGCGCAGGTAATAACCTGACCTGGACTATCACCACGGAGCCCTTAGTGGCCTATATTGTTAATACATCTATAACCACAGTTCAGGATTCCAGGCATTATGCGTTTCTCCTTTCTCGACAAGGGGGATACAAGTTGGCGCAATGAATGACATTTTTCACTCATTGGCTCATCGGTATAGTTCATCGAGGTCCTTTTGTACAATCCTGTCTATCGGACCAATAATTTGTTCATCGTGCTTCCGGATCGTCTGTTTAAAGCGGCAATATTACGGGTAAAAATATTGATTATCACTCCACAACACTACTACTCATTTCCCCCTTAAATTGATGATCCTTCCCTTTATCTCACCCTCTCTGGTATCATTCCAAATTTTATGCTTGATAACCGAAAATAGCATCGAATGAATGTTGTGCACCTACCGAGAATGGAATCGGTTGGGAACTCGAAACCCTTCATTATGAGCCATACACTCGACGGTCAAGTACCGGGAGTTCATGAACACAAATTTCGGTGTTTCTCACAAGAATATGCACACTTTGTGACCCGTGTGTTGTGACTGTCTGACGCTTGGGAGAGCTCATTGATTTCGTTGCCGTGTTGAACTAGGATACCGATGCATTTGGGGATCTCTATTCAATCTGGGGTGCATGATCGTTAGCGCAGTTGGTCTTTATGGGATTCAATGGGGAACCCAAACAAATGTTGCGCAATCCGTGAATGCTTCTTGTGTGTATGATTGCCAAGATGAACTAAAGATTGTGCATAACGGCGAAGTCTGAAGGATGTTCATTGTATCAATCAATATCACTTACCCAACACCACTACTCACAAGTAATTGTGAAGTAAATGTAAAATAAAAATCTATCCTAGTGGGTGTTACATGTGATAAGTCAACCCGAACCTGCATGTTGATGTAACACTTTCAATTCGAGTTAATAAATAATGTGCTGGGTCCGTATATGTTGGCCTTGGGCGCAAATTAACTGGATGATTATCACTGAGGACGACACAGGAATACACTCGAATTGACGATTCCGATCAAACCTAATATGAGCTAGTTTACAAAATGTACATAATGCACACACCTTCCGTGCACTGGGTTCGGAGTTCCAAAATCCTGAACGGGACAGTGGATATGCACTTCTGTTGAGCTCTGTTGAAACTGAAACTCGAAACCGGAATGTATGAACTGAGGGGTTAATTGTGTACTTGCGCAAAAGACGCAACCATGTTCGTCCGATTGATTTAGTCACCTGTTTTCGTCGTGATGAGTCTTTGTTACTACTACTACTACTACTACTACTACTACTACTACTACTACTACTACTAATAATAATAATAATAATAATAATAATAGCAGAAACCTTCTCAGTTTCTTTTTAAATGACACAGGCATAAACATCTTATTTTTAGAGAAAAACGGAAGGAAACAACGGCAGTTTTTGATCGGTCGCATTCGGAGAGAACTTCGCTAACTTCATCATTCATAAGCAGACTGATGAATTAGTTTTAGCAGGGGGGGGGGGGGGAGNGAATTGGTGACCGATAGTCAGTCACTGTCACTTATGTTTAACAATGTGTCATTCCCTTGATCCCATATTTTTTTCCTCGGTTGTGCCAACCAACTCACAATACAACAATGTCTTGACGTGTTTTTTTTTAGGTTGAAATGAATGAGAACAGGATGTGATCGCCATGTGTATGTATGACTGAAAGCATAGAAAAATCAGGCTCATTTGATACATGATCTTCCTGTGCAATCAATTAACAGGTACATTGGATGATGTTTATAGTACCTGAATAGATCAACTAAAGTGCTCTCTTTTTTTTCTTAGTGAAGTGTACACATACATTAGTTCGAAGTGTTTCTCGTTCAGCATTGAGGATGCTCATTTGACCTCATAGTTTCTCTTTCTCTATCATCTGTACACAAACACACACACACACAACGAATTGAAAATATCAGGACATCATTTGGCTATTGATTGTCGTTAGTACATCTCACAGCCAATTGGCCAAAATATTATCATTACCCAAGAGAAAGTACGGAGGAAACAACGCGTTGCGGGAGAAATATTACCGTAATCAGCGGTTTTGAAACATATTCAAATCTCGTTACTTTTCCGGCATTTTATTTAGGTGTTTGATGGGCTAATCCGTGGGAACAATTCGTGGGGGGAAAGTATGAACAGCCATTGGGTCAATCAACGGGAGTGAGCATTTCCATGACAGGGAGTGTCATTCCTGACAGAGTGGTACAAGGCTCTTCACTGATTCCCACTATTCAATAAACTTTGGGTATTGAAGTCATCGAATGGGAACATTTTCCAGTACAATGGAGTAGTTGTTATACATGAAAAAGAGTCCTCGAGTTCGAATCACTGTTATGCCGGTCCAACAGTACTGGATAGTTCATTCGTTCCTGTTGGGACATACCATCAGTGAATGATACTACTTGTTGTATGTCTTCCGGGACTCGAATCATGAGCTCTTACGATGAAAACTGAAGCATTCCACCCTTAAACAACAAGGTCAAACGACCGTGATCTTGAAAGCTTGGATACATGAATTATCTCAGAAATTATCCTGTTTAATCTTTGCGGTTTCACGGACACCGGTGTGCGTGTGTGTCTGTGTAATTTTTTTTCGGTTAGGGAGTTGATGAGCTCCCAAACAGTGAGAGCTACAACAGAGAATCGGGAATAAGATCGACCCTGCCGTATATCAAGGACGTTTCGGAAATGACAGTAAGACTGCTCAGATCATATGGAATCCAAGTCGCCCACAAACCGATCGCCTGTTCAAGGGGATTTCTGTCAAAACCCAAGGAGAGAATAATGGAGAAGGACAAGAGCAGTGCTATCTACAAATAAACTGCAAGAACTGTTCAAAACACTATATCGGACAAACTGGGAGAAAACTGTCAACAAGGATCCGTGAACACCAATCGGCAGTCAGGAGACATGACCCACTATCTTTGAGTTCCCTCCAGGAAGATCAAGAAGGACATCAATTTGACTTATAATCAGTGAGAATTATCGACCAAGCCCGGTCAAAACACGCCATAGAATTTTTTGAGGCTTTGCACTCTTTGATCAACTCAACAAACAGGCACATTGAACTGGATCACGTGTACACCGTAATGCAACTCAAGGACCAAAAGGGGTCACGCCATGACCTGAGAACAGACGGAAACCGCAATCAGGACGAAAGGACAACCTCATCTCCTTCCACCCTCACACCAGTTCAACGGTGAACCGAGTCGAACCCAGTGGGAACAGGGGACAAAATTAGTCGTTGGAGAAGAACACATATATAAACGAACGGGTACAAGCAGAACACTGCCACTTCACAAGCACTGATGTTGTCAACTTGATTGAGGATGAAACGTTTGCAAACAAATTGCCAAGCTCGGCGAACAGGCGAAATGGAATTCAGTTCACCCGAGCAACGAGAACCAATTTTCACAATTTTGTCAATAGTGACAGCTACATCGAACAATGAAACGCACACCCCGGTCTAGAGGAAATAGCAAGGAATAAACACTTTGATCATTGCTTCGATCCCATAAAAAATGGCAGTTTTATGCATACATGATACTTTCAAAATGGGTCTCTGACAAATAGTACAACAGATACGGTGTATACAATCAGCATTCGTCATCTCCGGCTTTGTAAACAGAAAAGGTTGGTTCACGTTCTATTGCTGAACTGACTTAAATTCTTGACAAAATTTGTATAAAATCAAAACTAGACCAACACCTATCGTTATCAAACAGGGGTAAATCAGAGTGACAATGTTTCCCAATCTTCTATTTAAAGCTTCCTCGGATCTTTATAAGACGAGTTTTATCTGATGATTGCACGAACAGACGAACGAGCGAATGGAAACTTCGAATCTTACCAAATAAGACTTCAATCAGGTATTTTCACTGAGACTAGTAGGTAGGAAGGATAGTAGGAAGGTTTATTGGTCGCGGGGTTCGAATGCACGAAATACGAAGAGATGAAAATCGATAAGAAATAAACACCATCACCAAAACGATTTCGCCATTCACATTCACTTTCTGTATGCAATTCATTCTTCCCGGAACAATTGATTGATTAGAATCATTTTTTTAGTATAATTTTCATTTTTACTTCCTATTAGAAGGATACAATTTTCAGAAAGGGAGTAGCGCCAATCAAAGAGCTGTCATACAAAACACAGAGAATAGGGAAGTTAGGCGATGGCGGTGGGATTCGAACACGCAATTTGGCGACGTTACTAGCGGGCTAGCACCGCCCAAAATAGAAGAATTTGTTTACCGCAGTTTGTCNTCGGTTTTCCTCCCTTCCTACCAAAGACCTTGTTGATAATATAATGAGTAAATTTCTACTTCCCTGTGATATGGAAATGCACAACCGTTTTTCAAGGAGAGAGACGCGGTTAATCGAAATCTACCTGGGGGAAATAGGGCAAATGAGCTGCAACCATGGGATTCAAACTCGGGACCTCCAGTTGGCTGCTTAGATGATCATAACTCGTTGACCATTGCCGTCCAGGTTTTATGTAGTAGTCAGCAAATTTAGGAACAACCATCAAATTTACTCAGTTGTATGGGAAATGAGTCAAACTCGTTGAAAGCAAACAAGATCCATAAANAATAAACGATCACGGTTCTCACGATACTTGACCGAAATGGCCTGTTTTGAGCAAATCAAAGCAAAATCCAAGACAAGCAGTAGTAATGACAATGTTGGGACCCAATCGGAAGATATTCTCTCGAGTTGTGCAATCGGTGAGTCTAGAGTTTCAAATAATCATAGCATGATGGATAATCAAGATACTATACTGATTTCACACTCATGAACAACTACCTTATTCTTTGACTAGTGGAGAATAATGGAATACAAAAATAAGTGATTAGACCGATAAATTAAGAAAAACCCTCAGCTCTTGCCATGGAAGCACGAAGAGCGTCGTTTAAATGACTTTAAAACACACTGCCTTACCCGATTACCGTCTTCCGATTTGCTACTCTAATCTCCACTCAGTGGTTGCATCCGGTTGCCATCATAACTGTTAACACAAGGAGACGTTCATACGCAAAATCAACTACGGTATCTCAGAAAAATTTCTTGTTCCCATGTGTTTAAAAGTCACCATAAAACTATGCAAAATAATAAGTGAAGATAAAATTTTCTTGGTAATTGTCCTACTGTAACAATTCAATCGGCGAATACGATGCAGCAGATAAGATCCTTGGTAAAACCTCCTGGATATTTCACGGAGCACTATTATTCATACTTGTTTATTTTCTTCTACCATCATCGATCACATTCTTGAAATACGCAAGTAATATAGTTAGAAGTTAGTCACCTTATTGGCATTTCGAATAGCCCTCATGAATTGGATGGGTTTGTAATCAGTTTACCACATTCAAAGAAGATATCAAATCACGCCTTGCGCTCGTCCTTGGCAAAGCTCTCTTTTACATTTTTTTTCACACTCCCTCAGCTTGTTTATTAAATTCTCTTTGTCTCGAAGTTTCCCAAAGGTCGCTTCTCATACGTCCGTATCCCGTATAGACCGCACGCATTGACGAATACTCTTCATTCCTGACCGACTCTGTAAGCAGTGAGCTTGAGTATTCATTCCCTCTAGCTTCGTAGGTCAGTCAACATTAAAATTTCTGCGGGGATATAATCGAAAAGCATCGTAACTTGATAAAACATTTGACAAGGTTTTGGAATGAGTGAGTAAGTAGTAGTTATCGTGAAGCAAAATGCACGCAATGCATTAGATAGTTCAGTTTAGTTCAGTTGTTTATCTTTATTCTCATTTAGATAACTGTCATTTTCAGCCTAATGGCGATGTACGAAAAACCCAAATAAACTTATTACTGCATGTTATGTGAAAACGGTTGTCTGTATCAGATATATTCAGCCATTGATTGACAGATGGATTTCACTCAGCTCGCTTTCTGGTTTAATGTGTCAGGTTTTTCAACCTAGAGGAATAACTATCATTGTGTGATGCTATATAACAGTTGATATTCAAAATACTCATTCCTCAAAAAACGATTACTGAGAATGCCTACTAAATGACGCTCACCTCTGGCTTTACGAATACCGAAGAAAGTAAAACTTTCTGAGCTCGTACCAGACCCGACGAAACCCGTTTCGCTACGATCGCTGATCATCATTAGTGGGTGAAAAACATTCGGCGTAAGTCCAATGCAATGCTGATTAGGAGTTGAATCGGTCTCAATGTAACAACTCACTAATGCAGCTTCACTGAGTCCATTAGGCGAAAAGCAGGATGAGGTCTTTGGAAAAGGCCAATGAGGACATGAGAACAGTAATTTGGAGGCACATTCGATGGAAGGATTCTTTGAAGACTAATATTATTCTGGGAGGCCCTGATAAATATTTTAAACACGGTTTTATTTAGCGATTCTCAAGTTCACGCAAGTACACCAAACGTTTGTTTAAACGAGTCAACTTGACGACTTAATTGAAGCCGCGCCATTCGAATTAACGTCGTGAGTGAGACAAAAATGTCGCGTCCGGTGCAGAAAATGCTGTGTGGCCTGCGAGCCATTCGTCATCTGGGAATTAGATTGTCGCAGCCTGTTCGTGTTCTTTCCTTCAAACCGGTTTCCTCTATGCTGGCTAATCCACATGCCTTCCAAAGTAGGCCCTTCTCCTCTCAAGGTAAGTTTCGTTTTTTTTGCCGAACTCTCCTCAAAGTCGATCGACAATTTACTGAAGTTTTGTCAAATGAAATCAAACAAGAAAAGGAAAATATGTATTCTTGTCAACCACCCAAAGGATTTTCAGTTTCAAAAACCGAAGGGACAGAAATAATATTGCAGAAACATTATCCGGATGGAGTGTATGTTCATCCTTTGCATGACTTATAAAACAGTTCGGTCGAGATCGAGATTAACCTTGCTGGGAGTGTAAATCCCGATATTGAGGACTCCGAGGCGATGTCCTCAGCTGACAAAAAGGAAGATCTGCCTATGTTGGAGGCTCATCCAGACATCCGCATCCGTCTCCGGAAACCCAGCGGAAAGTCAGTGATTTTCAACTGCAGCTTACCATCGCGGGATACTCGCCAGCAACTTTCAGCCGAAGGTGATCCTAATCTTCGTAAGTTACTCTGGGATCTCCATTTATATTGATTTATATTCCGATTCAACACCTGCTTAGTGTTCCTGTAAATCCCATCCATGTATAATTTCCTAAATCCGACTCAATGAGCACAACTGTTTTCCTATGTTGTTTAGCTACTTACTCGGTCGACTCGGTTGAAATGGAGGGCGTTCCTGGATACTTTGTCTATACTGACCTGTTCGATGACGTGAGTTGGCTTATCTACCATTCCAATGGATTTGCTTAATTCTAGAGGGTTTTTATTAGCTCCTTGTTTTCCTCTCTACACAGGTGTCAGATGGTCACGATGAAAAACCGCTTTTGCCTGGACCATTAAACGCAAGCTCTCCTATATACTTAGTTACGTCGTACATAGTCTACTTAGTTTCCGTAGTTCATGGCGCTTTTCGAGTCACAGTACTGGTTATCTTATGCATGAATCAAATTTTCTCTGTAGACCTGCGCTGAGTCCTATCATGAAACTGAGGTTCATTCGACTTGTAAAGCCAGCTGATGCGCGTTTCAGTTTTCGCTGCCTGAATTTTCTTCTCTAATCTTTTCCGCTGAAAGTTCGATTAATTCAGCCTGTGCAACTATCAACCTCTCACTGAGTTTAGCTAATTGTTTGTTCGGCAAATAGGACAATAATAGTTGAGTGAGTTATTGGAATATTCATTTCTCCCTCAGTTTCTTCCCATGTAAAGTAGCTGTCCAATCTGCACCAACGGTCATCTTTTTCTTCAGCCAGATTGAAATTGATTCCAATGTGTTCTTCCCTATTAAAAGGTCTAGTCTATTCGGAACAACAAAACAACCCTGACTTCCCGACGCCGACGTGATATGAGCCAGACTGAGTGGAGTTAGCGGTTTAACCGTCGTGTATTTGTGGATTTGTCGACCGTGTTGTCACATTAAGTTCTGATTGATAGGCTAGGCTGGTCAAGTCACGTGCTACCATACTGTGCACTATTTGGTCGGGGGCTGGAAGGAACACCGAGGTAGGTGGGCTACGACGTGGTGTAGAGTTGGAGGGATGCCCTGATTTGGT